CTTTCGCAAGTCCATGGTCGAACACTATTACCGCAACGTACACGCAGTGGTGTTTGTTTACGATGTAACCAAGATGGCTTCCTTCCGTAACCTGCAGACATGGATAGAGGTTAGCATTTACCTGGAAATGACAACCAATTTGTTTGTGTTTTAAAAGCAGAATGCCTAAACTGTGTAGCCTTTGTCGTACCAAGTTACTTCTTTAATTAGTAGCACTTAATGTTCACACACTGTATGAAAAAACCTTAAACTATATATTCCTCATTCGGACACTAATTCCCCAAATTATTTATACATTATAATTAATTAGCTGTTATGACTCATGCTAGGCAAAGTCATGGTAACACAACCTGTAGACAACATAACCATGTCAGGGTTGGGGTGAGGTTTTGAGGACCCAAATGCAGAGGTGAGGAGGCAGAAGTGAGTCTTTGTAGATTTAACGAATAAACTGAGGAAAAACTCCACAAACCAAAGTACAAAAATACTACGAACAAAAAACCAAACAAACTCACATGGGGAGCCAGGAAAAGATGAGGAACCAGCCCTGAGGAACTGCACAGAGAGAGTATATATAGCGGGGCTGAACAAAGACTGGACTAATGGGCTGATTGGGAGCAGGTGTGAAGAGAGGAGTCTAGAAAGGAGCCAGGGAAAAGGTGACCAACACTAGAGGGCAGCAGAGGGCAATCAAGAAATAACTAAGAACTCAAATACTTGCAGAATAAACACAACATAGGAATTGAACCAATATAAGAAAAACATGGATCAAAGTGAAACTCAAAACAAAACTTAACAGAACCAGACTTGGCAAAAATGCTTTAAAAATTGAACTAGTTACTGGTTATTAACTAATTTACTGTCCGATCAAAGTAACTAGTTTCCTTTTTAAGTAACTATGGTGTTACATTTTATAATCTAGAATATCAAAGATTTTTATCTGCCCTGTTATCCAGACATCAAACACTGACTAAATACAATTTGGTCACTTTTGAATTTTAGTGGTGCTTTCACAATCGTGGTAACATTAGACAGACTCTACAAAACACACAAGTGGCTCAGGTAGTGCAGCTCATCCAGAAGGCGCGTCAATGCGAGCAGTGGCAAAGTTTGCTGTCTGTCAGATTGATAGCTGGTCCAACTTCACCAGTCGTTTTTTGAATTCGCGGTCATACCAACAAAACAAGCCGGTAAGGTACCAAACAGGAGATACGCATAGAGTAGAGCGGATGGATTTGACTAATCAGAGCCCTCCTATCTGTGGCACTGTCTGCCATCATCTACAATTTTGGAGAGGTGAGACAGAGTGTCTGCAGAGGGGGCGGAAACGTCTCTGCGTTCACTGCGACACCTACGCAGATGACCTGGTTTCGAAGTATAAATCAGCCTTAAACCTCCAGGACAGTGACCTTTGGGGATGACTGTTCTAGAGCAAGACAGCAACAATGTGGACATATGTTTTATCCAATAAAACTGCGTAAATATTGGGTGTATAGCCACATACTTGCACTTATTGTGTATTGTATCTTTTCTCCTCCTCCAATATTTGTACAACACTCTGTGATTGAATGAAACCGAAATCAAATGTCCTATTTTTTTTACGCAATCATTGCCAATAAAGCAGTTGGATCATTGTGTTCCAATCTGTTGCAGGAGTGCAACGGCCATCGGGTGTCGGCATCAGTGCCTCGAGTTCTGGTGGGGAACAAATGTGACCTTGTTGATCAAATCCAGGTTGGTGAATGCAAGCTAAAGGTTTTCAGCATGGTTTCAGCACCAAGTGTCACCCATACACTGTCGCTTCCCACAGGTCCCCTCCAACATGGCATTGAAGTTTGCTGACTCCCACAACATGCTGCTGTTCGAGACGTCAGCGAAAGACCCAAAGGAGAGTCAGAACGTCGACTCCATCTTCATGTCGCTGGCCTGCCGCCTGAAGGCCCAGAAATCCTTGCTCTACAGAGACGTGGAGCGAGAGGATGGGAGAGTGAGACTCACACAGGAGACGGAGACAAAGACTAACTGTCCGTGTTGAGGGAGAAGAGGACGGGGAGTCACTCTGGGAGAGAAATGAGCGGAGTAGCTTACATAAACAGGAATGGGATCATGGAGGCTTAACGGAAACTTTCCTGGTTGGAAATGACAGGGAAGGTTAATGCTAATGCTAATCATGTTAGGGGGAATGGAGGATAATGGAAACATGAGTTTTAACTGAGATATCAAAAGAGTTCTTGCTGTTGAACATAAACGAGGGATTAGGAGTGGCTTGTCATGATGATGCTGCCTTTTACACTCGTTATTGTGAAAATTCTTCCACTGACTTTCCTAATAATGCTGTATCCTCTCAATCCTATCTTTTACCCTATATTTGCTCTAATTTCACCCGAGAACCGGACTTCTCAGCCCTTTTTCTACTGCTTTAATAACAAACGCTGCCTGACTCGTAACCTTCACAAACATTTAGAGTATAGAGCGCCAAGGCCACGGCTAAGCCATCAGACATCCCGTTTGAGCGGATTGTTTGGAGGATTCGATCTCTGCTCACCTTTCACATCTGAGACGAAGCAAATATAAATAGAAGGACGATACCCGAGGGGGGCCTGTGCAGAAGCACCTTGACAAGGTTTCCTAAAGCAGACCCTTAATGGGTTGCCTTGTAGCACATCGCCTATTGATTTCAGAGATCCTTTTACCCCCATATGTTCTCTCTAACGCTGAGCTTTTCCTTTCCCCTCTACTGCTGATATAAACATATCCTCATAATGTTTTTTGCCTATGAGTATTTGAGTATCTTTATTCTCCTTATTCTGTTTAATCAGGTGCCTTGCAAAATTACTTCACATTTCTCCAACATTTACTATTTTTGCCATGTTACAACCAATACTGTGAGGCATGTAGTTGTGAAGAGGGAGGAAATATTAGACTTTTTTTTCATCAAATCATTCATACATAAAGTATGGCTGACATATTAAGTATGGAGGGTTAAGAAGGACATAAATCCCTGAAATACATAAATGATAATTATTATGAAATTAACACATGTACCATTGAAAGTGACAATAAATAATTAAATGTACTGTTTATTTATTTAACATGTCATTAAACAGTTAAATGTACCATTAAAATGTAATGTGTATTTAATAGGGCTGGGTAAAAAAAAAAAAAAAATTATCGATTTTGGATCGATTCCTTTACAGTTTTGCTAAATTAATGCATAGGGAATGAAATCAATTAGTTTTATAGTGACATTCACATTCAAATGAGCAGGGGCTTGCAAACGCCGACCAAAGTAACACACCGCTCAGAAGGCTGTCCCAACTGAAGTCTGGAACCATTTTGGATTTAAAACTGCTGAAGATAATGTGCTGGATATGAAACATTAAGGTGACTTCCCTCTACATTTATAATGAGTGGCACCTCGCATGTCTCTGCTACGGACCACCAAGATAACTTCAAGCCAGACAGCTGCAAACATAGCCAACAGTTTGACTGAAGACATTAACAAATGGGGGCTGACCAGAAGACACCCTGTAGTTGTTACAGACAACGCTGCAAATATGGTTAGTGCAGTGGAGGTAATGCAGCTCATGCATGTCTGCTGTGTCCCCCACGGGCCTGCCCCGGCAAAGCCTCAACTTTCAAAAAAAAAGTTGCAACTTTGAAAAAAGTTTGGTCAAAACTCAAAGTTAAAACGGCCGAATAACAAGTTTGCACTTTATGTTTAATATGACAGGAAAAAATAAAATACATGAGCGTTTTGAAACACAGGTGAACCAATTTTATTATTTTAAAAACAGATTAAATCAAAATTAATCGATTTAGAACTGTAGGAAACAAAATCAAATCGATTCATTACTTTGGCAAAAATACCCAGCCCTAGTATTTAAATTAAAAATTAAATACAAATTATTACATAAACGATTAAATTATAGGAGCAGGTGAGCCGGTGTTGGTCAGTGGGCGGGGCTAATGTGAATTCTGCTGAGATGCTGGAGTTGCTCACCTAATATGTTGGAATTCATTTGCAACACAGCGGTGCCTGGTGTCAGTGATAATATGGACTTCAGTGTAAATGAAACTTAAGAAGAAATTTTCTTGCTCAATGAGAAGCAGCCAATCAGATGTCAGGGTTTCTAAGAAAGCAGCGCTAGTCCCGCCCACTGAGTTTCATAGTTGAAGTTGATCTTTTAAATGATTACATGGTTATGGAAGAAAAACATTCTCATTGGAATCTGCCTTTTTTTTGTGCACCACTGAATTTTTATACACATTGAATTCCTTAAACCGAATTTTTATCTGGTACAAATTGGCCTACAAAAAATTCAGCTGCAAAAAATCTGCAAAGAATCAACTGCAAATGTGTTGACCTTTTGGTGAATTGAAGCCAAAGCAATCTACACTCCATGCAGTCAGCAGCTTCTAGCCATTGAAGTTAGCTCATTTGGTCACGTGACACAACAGTTGGACATAGCTTAGTTCCCAGATTAATGAAGCTGAATGAGGAGTTTTTCTTGTTAAATAGATAAGGTAGCTATAAAATGTCAGGTAGCTACTAATAGACAGCCATTAGAGTGTTTCATCAAATTGGACTGGGTGAAATAACGGAGCCGATCACAGCTAGTGCGGCTCCCCTGTCTGCTAAGGCTCTTGGTTTGATCCGGGAGAAGTGGCCGGCGGGAATCTTTTTTTTTTCTGACCAAATGGGCTAATTTCATTGGCTAGAAGCTGCTCGACTGCATCGAGTGTAGATTGCTTTGGCTTAATTTCACCAAAAGGTCAACACATTCGCAGGCAAATTTTTTGCAGCTCAATTTTTTTGCAGGGGTATTTTTTTGCAGCTATAATTTTCAATCGATAAAAATTCAGTGTTTGGAATTGAATGTAAAAAAAAAATGTAGTGTTTAAAATTTGGTGTACAAAAAAAAGGCAGATTCCAATGAGACTGTTTTTCTTCCATACATAATGAAAGATACATTTCATAATTCCATGGTACATTTCAGTGCTTAATGATGTACTAAAGGAACAACGAGTAGATTGAATCATTAAGTGGAACATTTATTTATAATTTTTATGTTACACTTAATTATTTTATAGTTCTTTATTTCATAACTCCCGTTTATATAATGTGATTTTTATGTATTTATTTGATTTTGTCCCTCCTAACCCTCCGTAATTTAGTACTAAACCCACTTTACTGTGAAAAAACAAAACAGTGAAATCAGTTTTCTTGGAAACTATGTTAAATAAAATGGGATAAAATGTACTGAATAAAATCTCTGCATCGGCTAATGTTTCATTTAAGGCTTGTATGTTTGACTAGAAAGCACATTTCTAATATAAATGGCTTTAAACGCTTTCATTAGGTGGTATTTCCAAAGTAGAGGCTTACTGAGGTAACTTCCCATATACTCGTAAGCCTCCAGTTTCATACGGAGCAGCAAAGAGAATGTCGTCCCTAGTAGCACAGGTCACACCCAATGTAAACAAATCTATCCAGACGAATCAGGCTGCATAAGAACTACCCACTGAGCCATATTGATTATTTGCTGCTCACAGAAGAACAGCAGGTTTATGCTGAGAGAGCTTCACGTTTGGCTGCAGGCAGAGGAACACAATGTACCTAGAAGAGCATCAATCGGTGAAATTTGTTGCCCGTTTTCTTTAATCACTGTGGCCTACTTTTCACCAGGCACTATTAATACATCAAGATGAAGATTAGCAAGATTGGTTTGGGATGAATCTTTCCTTCCCTCAAGGCTGGTGGTTTGATTAACTTGTTCATTTAAGGCAACAAGTGCAGATCTCTAATTGTTTCTGAGGTCAGAGCTCACATTCAGACTTAATAACAAACCTGATTGTAATAAAGCTGAAAGCAGGGAAACCCCTCATGGCTAAAAGAAATGGGTTTTATAGATAACCCAAAGGAACTACAATCAGATCTACAGCGCAAACGGTATGACCGATTACAAATATTTACTCTTATTACTCCCATGTATTTCCCCAATTTTTAGAGTCCATTTCTACCAAAATGCAATCATTGCTTCTCATCTGCTCAACTATTCACAATGCTTCGTTATGAGAAACGTACGGAAGACGATTAGGGCCACTGATATAATACAAAAAAGTTACCTGATTTTTTAATTTTATTTCAGTCTGAGAAAAAAGTCAGAATTCTGAGATTAAAGTCAGAATTGTGTCTTTTTTCTCATATTATACTGAAATAAAATTAAAAAATCAGATAACTGTTTTTTATTTTTTCAGTGGCCCTAATCCTCTTCCGTAGAAACGCAAACAGGAACAAAATGGAACTAAACAATTGTTAATATCTGCCAAGCTTTAGGATTTAACCACCAATTGCAATGAGTTTAAATAACATTGGCGGTCACCATTTCATCACCTGTGCAATGCATGCTGGGTTGACGACGTGGTTTGGTTCTGCTGTATTGGAACCACTAATCTCTATTTATTGTTTGGATAGCCGATTGGCCGTTGGTAGTACACATTGCCCTGAAGTCACCAGTCACCATATTGGTACTCCCTTGTTGGAATGTGAACAATACGTGCGCAACAGCATCGAACAACAAAGATTTTCTCATTTTCAGGGGGGCTTTAGACTTTTAAAATAATAATAAAGTCATCACTTTGATGCACACTTGCTGTTTCATTGCATCAGTAGATTACCGTAATTTATGATAAATAGGCACATCACATTGCTTAGTCAGTATGAAGTCAATAAAGTCTAGAAATCGTGCAATATTACATATACAAATCCATCACAGAAAAATTTGTGTGTTAATGGAGCATAATACTGTACTTAGATATTAATATTACACAAACACACACTGTCAAAAGTGCTAAATTGATGTTCATGTAATGATTACATTGTAATTACATATAATTTCAAGATTTTACATCAATGCTGAATTACAATACATGTCTGTTAATGCTACAGTATTTTTCTATTTGCAAGTTGAGCAAGCATGATGCCGAAAACTTTCATGCTGTTTCTGCGCATTAGCCTTTAAATATGTCAGATTTACAAAAGAGTTAATGATCCAATTTAATAACTGCACATAGTTTAGTTTCTACACTAACAATATCACATATATTGGCAAAATAGCAGAAAACATCAAATTCAAATTTTGCTTTCTGCTCATATTACAACAATTTGAGAATTTGCATATAGTATAGATACAAGTATGTATGCACACATGTACACAAACATACACATTATCCAGTGATGGAACACCTTTAATAATGTAAGTTGCACATTTAGTTCATATTCAGAATGAAATATACATACATATGTACATAAAATATATTCCAGAACATAACTTACATTTCAGTAACAAAATAAAAATAAAAATATATCAAAATGGTGTTTGCTTACATTTGTTCTTCACCACTCTGCCCATACCCTCCAATGGAACACCACTGTTTGCATCTTTCAGGAGTTCAACACATTTGTCTGAATTTAATCGTCTCTTTTTCAGTTCATCAACAACCTTTTCAGCGATTCAATTTTCTCCTCCAGCCGCCTCGATTTCTGCTGCGTGTACTTCAGTTTTTTCTTTGTTGATTCCAGGGCGTTCAAAGCCACATCCAGCTTCCTTTTTAAGATGATGGGACTATCACTCATGGAGTAAACGTGTTCTTTCTGCACTACTGCATCCCCTGTCGTGCACGAGGAACTTCCTTCCTCCTGGTCAGGATGCGGAGCCGGTGTTGGTTCTGGTTTTATCTGTCTGGGCGCCGGATCTTTCCTGGGAGGCTTTGGAGTCTGAAACAGAAAATGTTTGTTAAGTATTCAATGTTAAATGTCACCATTTGTTAAGATATATTATATTGCTCTTTTTGTGTATGCAAGAGAGTTTATTGATAGCTGGTGAATGGGAATATAGAAGAAGTTAATGTTTTCACCATTATGGGCAACATTAATATCAGTTTTGAGGCATGTATACTTAGAAAGTTATGCTGATAGGACAATATAGCTATGTGGGGTTATAAACTGTCATTTCATATCATACACCCTGTGCAGAGAGACAGAGAGGGGGAGATGCCTGACCACAGACAGCATTATATGTTTATGTGCATGTACTTCTTCAATGTATCTGCATGTGTGTGTGTGTGTGAGAAATGAATATACCTTCTGAATACACTTTGGGAAGTTGAATAAGGTTGGAACTGCACTTTCCCTGAGTCGGACCGTCTGGCCAGTGCGGTCAAAGCATGCTTCCTCAAAATGCTCAGAGCAAAGCACAGATTTCTTGGATGGCTGCCACTTTTTCCTTCTCACATTCTGCACCCACTGTTCCATCCGTGCAGCATCACTGTGTGGAAATCTGCAATCAAGCAAAGCAATATACATGTAGATAAGTATATATATCTATACAGTAGCAGACATTCAAAATGGCCTTTCGCGTCAAATACCAGTCAACTTTCAGCCCCTGGAGTGACCCCCTCCTTCTCCTGGACGTGCATGTTTTTTACTCCGTCTCCACCCTTTCACTGAATTACAGGTTCTAAATAGGAGATGGCGCTTCTCTTTACATCCCAATGTCCACAAATCATGACAGAAAAAATACATTTTAGTAGAAAGATTGATGTTTGAAAAGGAATTGTAGGGGACCAGCCAGGGACCGATCAAGAAAAGTGGGGACATATTGGCTATGTTCACACTGCAGGCCTTGATGCTCAATTCCGAATATTTGCATTGCCGTTCATATTTCCAATTATATGCGATTTGTATGTGATCTCCTGGGGGAAACGCAAGCAAAAAAAACAAATGTCCCCCGCACGCACAAGAGAACACAAAAACACCACAAAACACAACACCCTCTTTTTCCACAAAAAAAAACAAAAACAAAAAAACAAAATCTTCAAAACAGGGAAAAACAAAAACACCGCTCCCCACAACAAAACCCCACAGTGGTGGCGTTTCTCGCCCCGCCTCCGCAGAAAAACACACAAAAGAGACACCTGTCACAGATAAAAAACACGCACAGCGCAGAAAAACGACACCGCGCCGTAGACACACAGCGCACATGGAAAAAGATCAGCCGCATAGCAGACACAAAAACACAGACAAAAGGCCCCGGGCGCAGGAGAAAAAAAAAGATCAGCGGTGTTCAGAAGAAAAAAAAAAGAAGATCTGATGCTCATATATTATGAGAAAAAAAAATCGGATTTGGGTCACTTCAGGCTGCAGTGTGAACGTAGCCTTTGATTGGCTACTACTGTGTGTATTTATCAGAGCAAGTGAGCGGAGTGTGGAGCAGAGCGGAGGAAATATGGTGGAGCACAGAGCAGTTTTCAATTCAAAGGCCAGAGTGAGGATTTCGCTCCGACTTTATTTAAATTCATGTTTGAATTAAAACCTAGACCAATACCTATGATGTAGTCTGTGCTTATAATCTGTTAGAGTCTATGTTTCAACTTTAGCACGGAATCACAGAGACGAGGATTGCATATTGTGTGATAAAAAGTGGGATAAAGTATCATAAATCATACACTAACTAAACAATACAGAGTGGGTTTACATAAAGTGATCGTTGTGGTTTAGAGCCTGTTATTGAAAATGGATCACATAAAACGCTATTATCTCATTTGCAATGGGATGCAAAGGGACCTTTTTTAATGTAGTCTAGTAAAATAAATGAATGATTAAATAGGAAACGCAGGCAACATCAGTGTAACATCAGCGGAACGGTCACTAAGACATTATTTGGGTCGCTATTCATTGCCTACATAGCAGCTACATGCTTGGAGGAGAGACACACAGCAGCACTCAGGGAATTTAACCAGCAGCTACTTCAATATATGTTTAAATAGAAGTTAGGAGACGGGATGGTTAAAAAAAACTAGAGATGACAACGAAAAATCTGTTAGATACTGAGCTTTTTGAGCAAAAGGCGGCAGCAGATTATTAGTTTAAACAGGTTATGAATATAATGCAAGAAGCTTGAGGAAACATAGTTTAAATGTTGTGTTCTTTACCAATAAAATTAAAAGCTGGGCTTCTCAGAGGACCATGACTCCCAGTCACAGGTTAAAAGTGACACATATCTGTTGTTTGCTTATTGAACAGAATCAGACTGCAGAACTTCTAGATATCTTAACAAATTAGTTTGTCTGGCATCATTATAATACTAAACATGTTCATAAATCTGTTTTTATGCAGAGAACAGAGACACAAGCAGGGACAGCTGCAGATTTAAAGGGTAAACCGTTTTATTGGGATATGCAACATGCAATAATATATCTCCCAAAGTTAAGACGCTATGCTATTCTATAATTAAATTAAACAAATATTTTTTCTTTTGTAATTCGGCAAGACTCTGAATAGCTGTGCCAGCCAACCCAGAGACAGCCAGACTTACAGGACGCAGATTAAAATATTGGAAACCTACAAGTATTAAAGCAATAATAGAGTAAAATCAGTGTATAA